CTCTCTCTCTCTCTCTCTCTCTCTCTCTCTCTCTCTCTCTCTCAATTTCATTAAATGGCATTAATTAAAATGCAATTATCTTACAGTAAGTTTTGGAAACCGTTGTGCACAGGCCGGTTACCCTGGAGTCTACACTAGGTAATTGTCAATTCTTGTTAACATACTTTCGGTTAATTTTTTAATTTTAAAAATTAATATCAATTACAGAGTATCTGAATATATGGAGTGGATTGAAAGCAATGTATTATAAATAGATCCTATCAAATAATGTAAAATATTCATTTGTTAATTATATACAGTAAACGCCAAAACTATAAATAAACATGTATTTAATTATAAATTCATTTCATAATTTTGTTATGTTTTAGAAAAAATAATTTTTGAAAATAAATTATTATAAAATATAATTTTGTAAAATCCTTTAATAATTTCCAATGAAAAAACATTTAATCAATTTATTGATAAATCAAAGATCTATAGAACTATATAACACTTTGATTTAGTGTTATATAATGTCATTATTTAGCGTCACATCCCATGTGTTGATGAGAAACGACATTCAATTATGAGGTCAACCCTTATATTAATGAACACAATTATTTGTCTATCAATTAAATATAAATAATGTCCATTTCCTATTTAAATCTGATACCATGAGTGGACTACCGCTGTCTCTCTCTCTCTCTCTCTCTCTCTCTTTCAATTTCATTGAAAGGCATTAATTTAATTCAATTATATTACAGTAAGTTTTGGAAACCGTTGTGCACAGGCCGGTTACCCTGGAGTTTACACTAGGTAATTGTCAATTCTTGTTAACATACTTTCGGTTAATGTTTTAATTTAAAAATTAATATCAATTACAGAGTATCTGAATATATGGAGTGGATTGAAAGCAATGTATTATAAATAGATCTATCAAATAATGTAAAAATATTCATTTGTTAATTACATACAGTAAACGCCAAAACTATAAATAAACATGTATTTAATTATATATTCATTTCATAATTCTGTTATGTTTTAGAAAAAATAATTTTTGAAAATAAATTATTATAAAATATAATTTTGTAAAATCCTTTAATAATTTCCAATGAAAAAATATTTAATCAATTTATTGATAAATCAAAGTTCTATAGATTTGATAAATGCTTATAAATGAAAAAAGTTTTGATTTAGTGTTATATAATGTCATTATTTAGCGTCACATCCCATGTGTTGATGAGAAACGACATTCAATTATGAGGTCAACCCTTATATTAATGAACACAATTATTTGTCTATCAATTAAATATAAATTGAATTATTATTATTTTTTATAGCAATTAGTGATAAATATTGTCTTTTATATAAAAAATTCAAGAGAAACAATCAATTGTTGTTTCTCTATAATTAACTCTTAATATGAAATCTGGTATTTTTTAATGAGTATTCACAGAATCTCTACACTCTTAAGGGATTGAAATTAAATAAATGTTAAATAATGGTTCAGAGTTTAAAATTTAGAAGTATTATAAAAACAGTTATACCGTATTATATTTTAGATGTACGTATGTCTATATGTTATAAATACACTACAATTACATTTAATGTTTACAAAATTCTGTGAATTAATTTCGGTTTTTGTGTAAGTTTTTGTCGTTTCCTTTCGACTCTTCTCTAGTGGTGTAAAAGGAAAAACTGTTTCAAAACTATTTTGAATGTCATTTTGATAAGAAGCGAGTGTTTTATAAGTTTCCGACAATACATTTCAATAATGTATAAATCATATCATATATGGTTTGTACTGTTATTAGTATTCATTCTTGAAGACATTGTCTCTTGCCGTAAGTGTTTTATGTGTTAATTTTGGATTAATCTAACATTACATCAATTGACTTAAAAATTGTAGGTAAACCCTATGAACAATATGCAAATCTCGTGTTTCAGAAACAGAAAACTTGTCAATTCTTTAAGAATGGATATGTATATCGAGGCCCCTGTAAGTCATGTGCTATATTTTAATTATTTTATAACAATTGATCTGTTTATTTAATAGGCAAACAAAACTCATATCAGTCATATAATAGACCACGTTATACACCAAAACACAGTAAATAATTAAATTTTAAATAATAAGCCATTAAATATATTTTATTATTTTTGCTAATATTTCTATTGTTTTGCAGAACAAAAGGCAATAATTGATGAGATTTATAGCCCGTGCGCTACTGTGGAGGGAATCTATGGTTTTTGTCGATCTCCGGCTTTTTGTTTCAGTCAATACGACTCTATTGAACAATATCTGCAAAACCAATGCAAACAATCCAATGGTTTAATAGGCATTTGTTGTCCAAAAGAAATAATAAGAAAACCAGTCATTCATTACTGTAAATAATTGATATAATTATTCTAAACATATATTAATATTCAAATTAACAATTATTTTATTAATTTAGTGCCCATTAGGATCCCAATCCCTATCGAACCGGTAATCCCTTTAAATATCGACCATAAGGTAGTGATAGAAGCGGCAAAAGAAAGTCAAAAGATAATCAAAGAGCAATTGACTATTGAGAAAGAATTAATCCGAGCGGGTATTGTATTTACACTATTATTACATTTTATGGATAGATGCAATTCTTAGTACAATTATGTGTGATATTTGTCCTGTGCTTATAATAGGATTTTTCCAGCGAAACAATACGATGGAGAGCTTTCATCAGGCATTCTTCGGACCCGACGACCCAGAGATTCAGAAATTGTCACTAGATGGTTTGGTCGCTTTGGAAACTACACTACAACTCGCTAAAAGGTTTGTAAAATAAACCGTTTAATAAATTATTGACATTGTTTTTGTGGTTAGATATCAATTAACTCCATTGCAAGCGAGAGATGGTTTGCATAAGTTTAGTCTCTTAGACACCCCTCTGGAACGCCACTGTCCGGAGACACCCATATGTGACCGACAGTCCAAATATCGCACAGCAGACGGCAATTGCAATAATCTTGATTATCCTCTTTGGGGGAAATCTTTGACACAATTTAATCGTTTGGTTCCGCCTTCTTATGCCGATGGACTCAATGATCTGCGGGTATCGGTTGACGGCGGGGAACTGCCGTCGGCCAGAGAGGTCTCCTGTAAGGTATGTAATGTATTACTAATAACAATAATTGTTATATCAATGTTTAATCAATCAATCAATTGATATTCTTTACGTTTTAAGTTGGCCTTAGATTTTGATATTCCCGACCGAAAGTTTTCACTACTGGTCATGCAATGGGGACAGGTTTGCAGCAAAACACTCTTCATTTGCAAAACCTTAATATAACCAAACCATTATTTATAGATTATAGATCACGACTTGACTCTCACCGCTTCGACACGAGGTATCACTTAAATAAAATTTTAAAAAATATTGCAGTATTTGTAACGATATTAAAATTTGTGGTTAAATAGCGACGACGGGAGAGGGTTTGCATTGTTGTAATGAAGAGGCGCGAAGGGCCACAAAGATCAGACACCCGGCCTGTAAACCCATTATTATTCCACGAGACGATCCATTCTATGCACAACACAACCACTTTTGCAATAACTTTGTCCGAAACGCCGCCGGACCTAAATATGACTGCAATTTAGGTAAAATGGCATACATTTAATGCTAATTATAATGAATTAAAAACTAATATTTTATCTTCTATAGGATACAGAGAACAAATAAACACATTAACGCATATTATTGATGGCTCAATGGTATACAAAAAGTTATTGTTTATTGTTTAAAATAAATTTCAATTTGTACTTAAAATAATAGGTATACGGCTCTACTGAAGAAAGAGCTAAGTTTTTACGGTCGGGCAAAAATGGTTTGTATTTTTGGTTTTAACGTTATATAAAATAATCAAAAACACATTTTAATTGAAGGAAAACTAAGAGCAGATAAAGTGAATGGCTATGAATTCCTACCGTTTGATACCCAGAATCGATCGGATGAATGCGGTATCCCTGAAAATCTTCAAAGACAACGGGGATATCAATGCTTTGTTGGAGGTTTGCCTACAAATTCATATCATTTATAAATATTTAATAACATTAATTATTAAATGGATATTTAGGTGATGTGAGGGTTAATGAGCAAACAGGTCTAACAATGTTGCACAATGTGTTGCTTAGGTATGAAATAAGAATATAAATATTTTATTAAATATTTATAAATATTTTATTAAATTCTTATATGAATGTTTAAATAAAAGTTAGCTCGGAGTACTATTTTTAAATTATGACTACATTTTTACTACAGAGAACACAATAGAATTGCAGAAATCCTTCAAGGATTAAATCCAGGTTTGAATTATTATACTTATTAATCCTATTTAATCACTAAACTCTGAACATAACTTACTTCATTTTTTGTCAGACAATAAGTTTATTAAAAAGTAATTTATTTATTTTATTGCAAAGAATGGAGCGATGAGTCTGTATATCAGGAGACGAGACGTATAGTCGCCGCACAGATTCAGTCCATTACTTACAACGAATGGATGCCTTTAATATTAGGTATACTTTTTGACATTTAGAGAGAGAGAGAGAGAGAGAGAGAGAGAGAGAGAGGTGAGTACTCTCAGATGACATACCAACGCCATATAATGTCCATTTCCTATTTAAATCTGATACCATGAGTGGACTACCGCTGTCTCCCTAGAAGATAATTAAAAGTAACAATGATTAAAAGTTACAAATAAAGGTGCGATACTGTGTTGACACATACCTGACAGGCATCTTTGCCTCCCTCCACATAACCGGCACACAAAAAGTTTTTATTAATTGGTTGAAAATATCTTTTATCACATTCATTGTTATCCCAAATAGGTATCGACACCTGTTGTAAAACACCACTTCCCGGGCCTCCATATTGCACTGTTCCCCAACCGATCACCTAGGTTGAGTGGTTTCATATAAATATCATCATTAATTACTGTATTCTAAAAATTGATCGCAAGTTCTATAAATATAATAAATTTACTAACAGTTGCCATATATCCGACTAAGTCTTTAGATCTCTCGATAGCATTGGGCAAACATATGGGACTAACAGCTGAGGAATAGACAACTTTGTCTTTGAGTCGAATCAAACCGATATCATTGAAGAATCCGTGTCTCTGAAACTTTGAGTGTTGTTTCACATCCAATACTTTCATTTCAATGGGTTTAGAGAAGTCGTCGTCTCTATAGAGATGATGTTCGCCTAATCTTATGGTAATTTGGTTGGCGTTATATCTAAATTTAAATCAATATCATTAATATGTAAGCAATAATCAAATAATGGGTTAAATATATTACTTATTTCCTTTGTGATCAGACAAACAATGAGCTGCTGTTAAAATCTGAATTAGAAATAGTATGTTAAATTATCTCTTATGTTTTGTTATATAACATTTATAACTTATATATGTATTAAAAGTAACTAGTCTCGAGGCGGCGTGGTCTTAAGGGAAGGGAAACGTAACAGGTCTTTATAACGGCGGAAAACTGTAAGATTTTAATGTATTATTATTAGAGATAAATCATTTTTAACGGACGTATTCTTAGATCGATTCATTGGAAATGTTTTCTGTGTTTATTTTATATTAGTGAGAGTTTGTTGTTATTTGAGACACAGATTCACAGAAAATACTATAAAACCATTTGAAAAGAATCAATCAAAGAATCAGATATAGCTTACAATCCAAGGCCATTGTCCGGGTCTTGTGTCAAATCCCCCGACTATACGGCCGTCTCGACCCGATTCACCACATTCTGCAGACAAGTCAATAAATGTTAATATAATTAGAATTAAAAAACTATTAATAATTAATAAATCATTACTTGATTTTGAGATCATATTGATTGAGCTTTCAGTTGTGGATGAAGTGTTCACTGAGATTAGAGATGGCTTTAATGGATAGTTAGTTAGCGGGAGTTTTTGTGTAGAATGAGAGCCCCAATGAGGCCTGGAATGGGTTGGCCTAATGGTTGTGGTGGATGTGGTGGTCATTATTGGTGATACACTTTCCGGTCGTCTCGTTGTCTGTGATTGTATGGATTGTGTGGATGTGATGAATGGAGAACTCGACGATGAAATGGATGTAGTGGTCGATGAAGTGCTTGTTTGGATTGTCGGAAGTTTACTGTTAGAAGCCTTAAAGTATTGTTTTTCGATTAGTTATATTTCGACAAAAAACGTTAAGAGAAAAGTAGAGATAAGAGTATTAGTAAATATACTAACGGCTGTTGTGGTGGACGACACAGAATTGGATGAGATTTGGTTGACTGGACAGCAAACGCCCGGAAACACGAAATTACGAAAGCAAACGGATTGTCGTAATAACGATAAGTCGAATAATAGATAAATACATCGCCTAATGTCCGCGCACTGGCCGGGGGTTCCCAACGGTGTCCGACAGTAGTTGGCGTTAGTTATCGCTGCAAAGTTTGAAACTATATTTCCTACTGAACTCGCATTGAGTCTGTTTGGCACAAACCCTGACAATTGTGTGCAAATTAAATTAAATTGATAAGTGCGAGTGCATTGATTGTGCAATTATAATTTAATATTATATAATTTATAATAATAGTTTAATAAATATGATCATTTTGGTTATACTTACAGCCTTTTTTGTATAGATTATTTCTATCGGCCGCTTCATTACATAAAAATAATATCCACATTAAAGCTATAATTTTATGCCATACTTTCATAATCTAAACACAAAATTTAATAAAATTTAATAAATATGTAAAAATACAAGATATTATTAAATATATTACTACACAATATAAGAAATCATACCATGACTTGAGATTGGAAAAAGGGGACCACTTTTAAAGTATTTCATAAATAGTATGAACGTAACTTTTCATTACAAACCAAGAAAGTTGTTTGAAAATTAAACTAATAAAATATATTTTCTAAATAACACTTAAGGAAATGAGGCAGAGATAGCATTCGCGGAGAAATTTGTTATATAATAATCTTAGGAATTATTGTTTGGTTTGAGAAAAGTTTTTGAAACCTTTTTTCGGGAATACTGTCTCAATGACCTGAATATTGCATACATTCTCCTCTCCTGGGATCGCGACCTACAAAAAGTTTAACGATAGGTTCAGGTGTTGTTGATTGTCATCAAAAAGTACGGTAAACGTAAGGGATGTGATGTTTTCGGGCAGAGGAGGAGGAGGTCTACTACTCTACCCCTCAATACATGTGCGATAGTGAGTGAAAATTTGATTCAAAAAATCTTATTCACTATTCATGTGACGGATTTTGTATAAAATATTAATTGTTATCTTATTTTTGCAGTGAATTAGTAAAGTGTTTGACCTTAAGATTTGTTTTGTATAAATGTTTTTGTGTATTGAATGTATTCTATGATGAAAAGAAACGCTTGGATACAACCGTAATAATGTATTTCCATGTTATGTAAGACAACATTTGTCTGTGTAATAATTCAGTAGTCATCGTCTCCTGAACTGTCTCTTACTTTGCACTTATCTTCGGTCTGTTTCACCAAAAGCTGAGTTTCAAGTATTGGTAATATGTTTTGGATTTTCCAAAATATTTTTAAATTTAGTTCATAAGTGAGAGAAATTTTTCTGTAATACTATTGCTTATGTAAATGCAATGCAAGTGAATGTATAAAAACAAAAATAATTGAAAACTTGTTTTGTTTTCCTTAA